TTAACCTAACAAAATTTTTTACTTACGCTACGCCAAGTGAGAAAGTAGTGACGGCGGGTTTTACACAAAGTGGATCAATCGGATGAAGTGGATCAACTATGGCGTGCGCCTAGGCGTTTGTGTGGACGCATGCGCGAATCGTCGTCACGACTTCCCGAAAGACTATACGCTTTCGTCCCATTTTTGCCCCACTACTTGCCGTCAGTACTGGGAACGTTGCAGATCATATCTGTGACTGGTATGTGGGATTTCAAGAGCTTCATGAATAAAATCTAGACAGCTATATAGAACTGCGCCTAGGATTGTAAAGCTCTTCAATGCTGCTTATGGCGAAGCGACACAAACGCGTTGTACAGGAAAGAACCCAATATTGTTACTATAGTTGTATGGGTCTACTGTCGTCAACTCCATGTCAGCCAGTGTACTAACAAAGAGTGTGAGTGAGTGAGAGCCCTTAAGGCCAAAGCAGAGACCAGGATCACAAAACCGTGGCACTCGCATTAGACTGATTTGACATACTGATCGCATATCGAAGTCATCGGTAAAAGAGTTTATTCTGGGGAAAGACGGTGTTCAGGCATACCTTGACACCCGGGACTTTCATGTGGGAACTGGTTGGTAGGCCACAACTAGGGCAAGCAGACTTTGTGATTGGCCGCTTAGATGTTTTATAATTGGTCAAAAGTTAAATGACCAATCATGGCGGCTAAACGGCTAACTGGACAAGTCGGACACCTACACGAGGCAGCACGAGGTAGCGCAAATCATCCAACGGCCACAAAATAATCTCCCGGCCCCAATACCGCATATTCGGAGGACGACCGTGTAGTTGAATCATCTGCGGTGCCATTTGGACAAAGTTTTAGGCCTCGGCATAGTTCACGCGATTTCATCGCCCCGCGATTCTCCCAACAAGACAACTGTTACCAGCTGCATGCATCCACTTGCATTTCGGTCATGATAGGACACGACCAATCATCTAACTATGCCGAAATGCAGCTGATTGACATGCAATAAACTCGTAACAGATGGTTATCGGGAAAATCGCGAGGCGACGAAGTAGCTGAACTATGCCCCAGTCCTTGGTTGGAGTTCTCTAGTCAATTTCCTGATCGGAATCGTGGTGTTCCCAAATCATGGACTGCCTACAAGGTCATTAGCCTTTTGCCGTACGACTGCCGTAGCCTCGCGAAAAATGGACGTAAGTAAGGCCATAGTTGATTCACCTGATCCTCTTCACTATTGGTCAAGTCAGGAAACTCAACAGCGAGGTGCATGAAGTGGATCAAGCGGATCAAGTAGCCATCCGCTTCGCTATTGGTCATTCCACTGTTTTGACCGATAGTGAAGTGGATCAAGAGGGTCAAGCGGATCAAGAGGATCAAGTGGATCGAGCAGATTAGCGGATCAAGTGAAATTTGTATGGCGCGTGCCAGCGAGAGGATCTGACTTTTATAATCAGTACCTCAAACCATTCTCGATGCACATTTCCAGCAATCAAAAGTCGATATTTGTATACATATCTAGTGTAATTTACGAAGCCCTATCATGCAAAGTAAATGACATTTGCCTGTAGATATACTGAATAACACTGTGTAATATCTAGGTTATGATTGTGAGACAACGCCTAGAAGTGCCATCATGAAGCGAACTCGAAGATGACTAACGAAAATCGTTTTTTTTTTCAACTGCGCGTGATATCTACCAAACTTGCAAACGTAAAAATGTGTCGACAGCTGCTTTTTCAAGTGGATTGCAGCGATATGGATGAGAATGGTAGACTGCCTTAGACAATGTGAAGCCGAGCACAAGCGAGCTTGCATGCAAACACAGTTCGTGCAACCACCACCATTCCATCAACAATTCACAAACCTCTTCCCCCTTTCCACCCTCATCTTGTTCGTTACGGTCTTCAAACTCAGGAGCAGCAGCTTTTGGAGCAGAATCGCTCTGTGGATGGATTATGATACTCAAGTCTCGAGTTTTCCTCCACTCAGTGATATGAATTCAAAGTGATTTACTCCCTTACCTCCGTTGATTTCGTTGTGCTCACTATGGGTTTCGTACTCTTGACAAGTTCCAAAGAAGTTTTGCTCTGGCTAGTACTTTTCCGGGCAGCAGTCGCAGCTCCCGACTCTAAAAAGTCATGCTCCAGTTTCCAAACAGATTCATAAGAAGCAATTCACGTACTGTTCGAAGATGAGGAGTTTGTTGCAGTCAAAGGACTTGTTGCTTGCAAGGAAGGTTTCTTATCAAGCGGAGAAGTATGCGAGTCACCTTCTTTCTGCACTTGTAAAGGAGGTGGAATTTCTTCTACGGAATTGACGGCCGATGCTGAAGCGGTAAACTCATTCAGCAAGAATCATGCATTGAAATCGATGATGGTATGAATCGTTATATCAAAACTGCTCCTCAGAAAGAATAAACAGAGAATGCAAGTACAGACCTAGATGTAGATAGCCACAAGCACAAGCGACAAAGATTATCCGTACACGGAAGTCCATTCAACGTCGATACAGGTCTAAAAGTACCTATAAAATGGAAATCTTCATCAGATTGAAATAACTTCACACAAGCTCTTTGTTTATAAGCCATTGAAACCTTTTTGTGGCATAAAGAAGACAGCACAACTACTCTGACTGAACTCGTTTGTAAAAGGCATGGTGTATGATGTATAGGCACAGTTTAGGCCAGATTCACACTGTCAGTACTTCTGGAGCAGTTCCAAGTACAGTTCTCGCTCTGTGCTGGGACTGCTCAACTTCTAGGTAAATCAGTTTGAACGCCTTAGGCATTCGCCATACTTGATCCTCTTAATCCACTTGATCCGCTTGA